CTACACGATGTATAAAATGTTTGTTTACAATTAAATAGAGATCTTTTCTGAAATATTCAGACATTAATAATGAGTGGTTTTAACAATTGAAAGAGATTGTCAGCTATATGAAGTGTGGAAGGGCTGTCGTGGAAAGCTACGATATAATGAGAGAGATTTTTCTGCAAATGCTTAGACATTAATAGTGAGTGGCTTAACGATCGAAACAGATCATCAATCAAGTAACGCGAAGGCTGTCGTGGTACGCTACGATATAATGGGAGTTCTTTTTCAAATATTCTGACATTAATAGTGAGTGGCTTTAACAATTGAAACAGATTGTCTGTTATATCAAGTGTGAAGGCTGTTGTGGTACCGCTACAATATAATGAGAGATTTTCTCTGCAATTATTTAGAAAATTAATAATCAGTGGTTTAACGATCGAAACAGATCGTCAGTTATACTCAAGTGTGAAGGCTGTCGTGGTACGCTACAATTTAATGGGGATGTTTCTGAAATATTCAGACATTAATGGTGAGAGGTTCAAAGACAGAAACAGTTGTAAGGTTTTTCTATGAACGCTGATTTTTCGAGTAAGTGATAGATTGTTCACATGATTGGTGAGTATTTTATCATTTGTCAAGAATATGTCTTTTAACGCTTTGATAAAGCTGATTATTGGCGTGTGATGATAAATCATTTCATCATGAATACACAATGCCATTTAGAAAGTGGTCACATGTAACATATGTGTACTTGGGATAACATTGCTCAGTAAAGCACAGATTCTAGTACTTTTGTTTGAATCCCATCCGGATTGAACCCAAAATTTGAGAGTCAGGCACCCACCCACTAAAGTCAGCCTTCTAACCCACCGTCTGTCTGTCTGTCGATACATTACATTAACATCGTGTTTTGTACTCTCAACATGGACCGTCTCCATGGTGTAGTGGTAAGAGCGTCCGCCAATAGACGTTTAAATGTGGTACTTGTTGGTCCCTGCCTGGCGCTCGGCATCGATGGGTACAACAAGAACTGGTCAGCTCGGTGTCAGTATAATGTCTGAATAGGGTATTCATGGTTTAACAGCGGAATGGTATCTCAGTGGAGCTATAAGCAGTAAAACCCAGCTTAAGTCTGGGCTAGTACAAGCAGCCACACATACACAAGCATGTACGTCGCCATATGAGCGAAATATTCTTAAGTGCTGCGATAAATCTAATTCACCTCACCTCACCTCTCAAAATGTTTGTCAAGTTTACATTAGAAGGCATCTCCACACGCCCGCAGTCGGAGGTCGGTCGGGTTACCCAAACTTATTTGTTAGTTGTAAGGCGCGACTCAACATGCCGTAAATAACTAATCCCCACATTATTATGGCTAACTCATCCGCTAGTTCATAACAACGCATTAGTAACACCGTGGAATGGTGGTGCCGTAATGACCAAATACTTTGAGTGAGTGTGTGAGTTTAGTTTTATGCTGCTTTAGATGTATTCCATTAGTACCACGACAGAGAATTGGGAGGTGAGTGAGTTTATTTTACGCCGCACTCCAGCAATATCCCAGCTATATGGCGGCGGTCTGTAAATAATCGAGTCTGACCAGATGTACAATCCAGTGATCAACAGCATGGGTATCGATCTGCGCAATTGTGGGAACCGATGACATGTGTCAACCAAGTCAGCGAAACCTGACTCTCCTGATCCCGCGTTAGTCGCCCTTACGACAAGCATAGTCGCCTTTTATGGCAAGCATAGGGCTGCTGAAGACCCATTCTATCCCGGATCTTCACGGGTCGATTGCAGAAAATTGGCTTCACGCATTGTATCCACGTGGAAATCCGAACCTGGTTCCTCGGCTTTAGCAAGCGAACGCTTTCACCCCTACGCTACCCACCACACCTATAATATGTTGAGAAACACTGACAAATCAACTGTAATTTACATGTACCACCAAGATCCCAATCTAAAGTGGTTGAACTCGTGTTTGACACAAGCTCGGTGTCCAACACGGAACATAAAACCATATCACATGGGTGTAAATATTACCGGGCATTGTGTTACCTTGGTATTTCCTGATCAATTATTATTAAATCAGTTTCTGTGTCTTAGACGTCCAGTGTGGGTTCGAATCCTAGTGCAGTGAGTGAGTTTAGTTTACGCCATTTCAGCAATAATATTCCAGCAATATCACGGCGGGGACACCAGAAATTGGGCTTCACACTTTGTACCCATGTGGAAATCGAACCAGGGTCTACGGCATGACGAGCGAACGCTTAACCACTAGGCTACCCCACCACCGCCCCTCGAATCCTAGTCTCGTCCTGATAAGACCATGTTGGCCAGTCGGTAGCATCCCCATAAAGCGATGAGATTCGTTACGGCGGTATCTTTGGATCGATTGCAAGCGTCTCGTAATCAGCGCAGCAACATGACTTTTTATATCTTATCTATTTTTGTAACTTACAACTATGACAATGAAGAAAGCCATGACAGGTGGCACGTAATCCTGAGCACATCGCACGTTGTCCTATAATAATCATCAACCAGACCAGACTGTCCAGTGTTGTGCGTGTAATGAGTGTTCGGCATACTATACGGTTTAGAGAGGTCCACTGCACTAGACCGCCTCCGTGGTCAAAGAGAGTATCCGCCCGAGAGCGGAAGGCGCGCGAGTTCCATCCCCGACCGCGTCATACCAAAAGACGTTAAAATATGGTGCCTTGTTAACCCTGCCCTGGCGTTCGGCATTAATGGGTACAACAATGACTGGTCGGCTCAGAGTCAGTATAATGTGCCTGAGTGGGTATTCATGCTTCACTGTGGCATTGGTATCTCAGTGGGCTAGCAGTATAGAACCAGCTTCTGCCTGCTATAGTACAAGCCAGCCGCACATACACATATTAACACGCATGCACGTCGTCATATGAGCGAAATATTCTCAAGACGACGTTAAACCCAATTTCACCCTCACCTCCACTGCATATAGCTGCTGAGTCCGTCAACCTAACTTTTTGAACACGGTTTTTTGCAAGCTTACGTTTAAACAACAAAAGGTATCCAACTTTATTATTCTCAGTTGATAATGATATCTGACGACCCAATTGGGTGTTGAATTGCTAAAATTTATATCAACTATTAAAGATTTTACTTAAGAAACTATCATATAAAGTTTGGGACAACAATGATTTCACAATAGTACCAAGCGCGGTACTGGAATAGCTATCAACAATGTCGCAAATGTGTGTGGCACGCAGGTTGGGTAACATCGTGGATTGTGTATGGACATGTTGAGAAGGGCCCGTATCGCCAAACCTTTTTCATTTTAGACAAATTTTTTGTTAATCATTCATTTGTATTGAAAGGTAAAGGCAAGAAATAAGTATGATTATCAAACATTTTAATATTAAGCAAAGGTGAGAAGTGAAGAATTGCCGCTATTTTGAGAACATATCAATGTTCATTCAGATTCAGACTTCAATGCCAGGAGTCGACCAATTAGTCGTCAGATATCATTATCAACTGAGCGAATAAAGTTGGGTACCTTTTGTTGTTTAAACGTAACTTCTACAAAACAACCGTGTTCCAAAAGTTAGTTTGACGTATTATAAATCAGAATCACATGCTCCCCTGAGCGAGTAGCATATGAAAGCATCTGAAGAGATAGAGACATGTGACATCTGTGATTGATGAAATAGTGTAAGATTGTTAAGGGTTTGTTTAAAAAGCACAACTCCGTCCAGTAATTAAAACTTACCAGAATTTGAAATATTTAATGCTGTCATTTTAACACAATGACTTCTATGCTTAATTTGTGTGTACAGATATTTTCAGGTAGGTGACATTTGGTGCGGAACTGGAGCTACCTGTGTGTTTGGAAATTGTGTTTTTATTGTAGTTTAAAGGCCTGACTGTACCCATGTGTACAAGGAATGGCTGTTGGTAGCCTGGATGTTATCTAGAAAAAATATAACGTCACTATATAAGTCTCTATGGGAAACATTTGATGTTGTGTAACCTTGACCAACCACATCTAGATCTATAGACAAGTGCCCTTGCCGTGTCATTTTGCGCTTGTCTCTTTGGTCCGATCACTGGCTTGTCCTAATGATGATGCTTAAATTTGTGGCCACCAGCATCAAGGCCGCCAGTCTCAGTCATGTGGTGAGCGGATCTGCCCTGTTGGTGGTTTGGAAAGGTTTCTTTGACCTCACATGCTAATATTTTACAAACATTTCACCTCTCTCTTGGAGTGAGTGAACTGGGAGGTCGGAAAGAAGTTAACAAACGGATCGCAAGCCTGCCCAAGGGAAATTCCTCTGCGCAGCGAGTTGGACGACTGGGCAGCATGCCTACCAGCTCAGCGGGATTCTATATACCAGATACACGATATCATTGTCACCAGAGGAGCATTCAGTTAAAGTTTAACCAGCATTTTCAAGGATGATAATTCTACGCTGTAAGCATTATGGACCGTCCATGACGGCGATGGATAGGGAAGTAAGTGCCTCCCTATGTTATGTACAAACCGTGAAATTCCGGTTAGAATTGGTCTTCAGTAAACCCATGCTTGTCGTAAGAGGCGACTAACGGGATCGGGTTGTCACGCTCGCTTTGACTTGGTTGACACATGCCATCGTATCCCAGTTGCGTAGATCGAAGCTCATGCAGTTGATCACTAGACTGACTGGTCTATTTCTACAGACCGCCGCCATATAGCTGGAATACTGCTTGAGTGCGGCGTAAAACTAAACTCACTCGCTCACTCTTTGTACAACATAAATGACTCCCTTTCATAGTTTTAAGCATAATTTGTTAATATTTATGTGCAAAATTGCTGAACCCTAGTATATGTGTACAGAATTGTTGACCCTACCTCCCTTGAAGAAAATGGGTCATTATTACCACGCGCGCGCGCACGCACGCACGCACACACACACACCGTAAAATCGTCATCACGCCCCCAACCGTAAATTAAAACCGGTCCCCTCACTGGCTCAAGGACATGACTGCTAATACACCGATACAATGTTTTATTACGCTCTAGTGTCAAGCTAGCAAGCACCCATGTCAATAACTGTGACCGTAGCGAGCTGTCCAGACCTGTAAATACACATTGGAAATATGTACTTTGTTTAAAGCAGACATTTTGTTTCAAGTCGACGAAAATAACCCCGAGTAGCTTCATTCACAAAACTAGGGAAAACGTTGTTCTTGATGATGATGGTAATGATGATGACGACGACGACGATGATGATGATGATGATGGTGATGATGATGATGATGACGACGACGACGACGATGATGATGATTGATGGTACGATGATGACGATGATGATGATGATGATGATGGTAATGATGATGATGATGATGTGGACTAGTCGTTAGTTTGTAGTTATATTCTGTAGTTGTGACTTAGAGTGAGCGAGGATATACACCCTTTTCTGATAAAGCTGACTAACTGGTTAAACCCATAATTCTTCAAACTCTCCAAGCAGGAAGTAACACCCCGATCAATCCTGTGAACAGTACAGAATAAATCCACATAATAGTTTATCTTCAGAACCTAAATATCCGGCTTTTATATCCCGTTTAGGTTTACGCCGCTTTTAGCAATATTCAAGGAACATCATCACGGTGGGGGACATCAGAAACAGGCTTTACAGATTGTACCCATGCGGGGAATCGAACCTGGGTGTTCAGCGTGATGAGCGAACGCTTTAACGACACGGCTATCCCCACTGACACCGACGACTTAGAAACAATTTCACTTGTAAATATGACTTCTAATTTCCATGTCGTAGAATCATTGTTCGAAATGAAAAAACTGACTGACTGACTGAGTTTGGTTTTACGCCGCTTTAAGCAATATTCCAGCAACATCACGGCGGGGGCACCAGAAATGGGCTTCACACATTGTACCCATGTGGGGAATCGAACCCGGGTCTTCGACGTGACGAGCCAACGCTTTAACCACTAGGCTACCCCACCGCCCTGAAATGAAGAGAAGCCAATAGCAATGGTTTATAGTTACCAGTTTGTTCTCTCACGAAAACAAAATACAAGGCCATATATTGCATCAACAATGAAAACAAATATATGTATACTTAGGTACCAATCTGAAGATGACCAAGGATGACAGTCATCTTCTTCTGTTATGGGTTTTCTGATTGGGGAATAAAGTTATGTTTTACCACATAATATACTGAACATTATTGAAAAACGCACCAGTCTAAAATTGTCCATATGTTCATCAAGATGGATTTCAGCATGGCAATGATCAATGAATATAACTAAATATGAAGTCGAAGGGCATGTCCAGTTGAAAAAAATGCTTTAGAAACAAATTCCTGTCCACAGTATGACTTCTTAATTCCAAATGCCTCAACATGCAGCCACGCCATGAAAAGCTCGAATTCATTCTGAAATCATACTGACTGGGTGACATTAAAAGCAGGTGTATGAGAACCGATTCTCATTGCTTCTCTAACGATTGTGAAACGAGGACAGAGATGCCGAGGTTAAACACCTCACGAAAGAGAGAAAGTGCACTAGGCATGATTCAGGTTTGCACCAGCAGCAGGGATATTGCTCGACAATCCTGACTGGGACACTCCACCATCGTTAGGCTTCATAGACGACATCAGTAGACAGGCAGCACCTGTGACCTTCAATGACCTTTGCAACAACCTGTTACGACGGTCCATCAGGATCGCCATATTGACCTTGTCCATATCAGTAGTGATTGAACACTGTCGACTGCTAGGACTGTTGCACTAGTTCAAGGTTGACGTGGGGGTCAATCAGCGCTGACTCCATGCAACGCCGTCTACCCTCTACAAGGCTCAATGCTCGACGTCCTTACGTTGGATCAAATTCTGACTCACAGACACCGTAATGAGCGTATACAATGGGCTAGCAGGCATTTTCAGTAAAGGTTACAACAATGACATGGTGTGGTGTAGTCACTGACGAGTCACGTCTTCATCTACGTGATTACTTGTTTGGTGTAGAAGTGGTGAACGCTTGCTGATGGGTGTGTGGTTCAGACAGACCTTTGGGTGGTGGGAGTGTCATGGTCTGGGTGGAATAAATTACAATCACAGGACTGCTTCTTCATGTCTGTCAAGGAGAGTTAATGCCCTTTATTACCATGAGCAGATTCTTCAGAATCACATCGTATCTGTCTTCAATCACCACCATACTTTCAACAGGACAACGCACGGGCACACACAACAAGACTTTCCATGCAGTATCTGGCCCAGCAACACTCCAGTTTATTCATTGGCCAGTACGGTCGTCAGATGTATCCCCCTTGGAGCACTTGTGGGACGAAATTGGTCAAAGTCTTTTGCGGCGACAACAGATGCGAAACATCCGGGAACTTGAGGCTGCACTACTGCAGAAGTGGAATGCCATCCTCAAGAACTCTATTCGGACGCTTATTGACTCAATGAGGAGACGTTGAACTGCATGTGTCAATGCAAATGGCGGTCACACGCGATATTGACTTATCGATTTGACCCCACGTGTGTTTGATCCTTTCTGACTGTGGAACATTTCAATGAATGAGCGTCTTTTCTGTGTTGTTGTTTTTGTCAGTTCTCCATCTGTTATTATCCACTCAAAAACTATCAATTCCTTACACGAGCTTTTAATAATCTGAACTTTTATAAGTGGTGCGTTTTCAATGATATTCAGTTTATTTGTTTTCCTTTATTACTGTGAAACTGATGTGGGATAACACACAAATACAAACATCGGTCTTTGAGCAAGAGTATGACAAAGTCGTTTGGGCATAAAAGTGATAACCAACACAAAATATTCACAGCAGGTATCTTCGAGCACATAAAAACACAATTTCCTGTTAATAAAACATACTGAGTCCTTTTTGAACACCACCAAACTTTCAAAAGCGAAAATAGGTTTATGTGGGTTATCACTATCTTATCCCGACCCATATATATATTCTGTAATTGAAACTTACAAGCAGAGACTGACGCCCATTTCACAAGGGTTGGAATACGTCACTCTGTTAGATGCGCAGACCGGTGAGTAGCTGGCTGAACACACTCGCACAGTCACGAATGTCGGACGTGCCCTCCGCTGTAAAAATAACAGAATGAGATCATTACAGTTGATATTAAAGTCTGCTAAATAATTTCAGTATATTGTCTCAGACCGAGCGTGACACAGGTGTATTGGTATCTCCAAGGCTTGTGGAGCACAGAAAAGCATGCAGGATTTCCTCCTTACCAGATGCGATGATCATATGTTCGAATCCAAATTTCGACCTGACCCACGTTTTGACAGGACTATAAACTAGCTTCAGGTTTCAAAGCAGTATGATGACGCACCTTGTAAAATCTGTGTTTAATACAATTAAGTTGGTGATTTAGCTTTTAGCAATATTCAAACAATATCAAAACAATGGATTGTATCCGTGTGTGGAATTGAATTGGCGTAACGAAAGAAGGCTTTAACCGCTAGGCTTTCCCACCTCCCGATACAATTTCTTTCTGCTTTAACCTGGCACAATATGATAAAACTGTGACTCGCTCATTTATCATTTGCTAGTTAGATCACTGTGAGCGAAAATGATAACAAGGAAAGAAAAAATATTTAATTTAGGATGACAAACTCTACAAATGATTTTGACCAGCAATAAAAACGCAACTCAGAATTCATGAAAAATATACTTCTTCAGCATGAGTTTGGATTTGATATTTTAAAATAGAAAAATAGCACAATCGTTTTGATTTCTTTGACTTTGCGTTTCTTTGCTGGTCAGTATAGTTAGGTCAAATGATATAAAAGCACATATCTAATTTTAACCGTAACAAACATGCTCGAACTAAGCCGCTAAACCTGGTTGTCAAGGTAAGGCTGATAGACGATCAACTGTACACCACTCAACAATATTCCGATTATATGAAAATCATGATTCGATGTTTTGTTTAGCTGGATCAAGGTGACAGGTCCATTAACACTGTTTAGAGGACAATGATACATTTACATGCTGTCATTACTGTTTATAACCGGAGGCACCTGGTGTTATAGTTGGCAATGTTCATAACATCAATATATAGAGAGGTACAGGTAGGTGCTATACTCACCAGCCACTAACACGGCACAGACAACAAAGGCTTGTAACATCATATACACTGGCATGAGAAATGAACAACTGGTGGGTTGCTGTCCGTCTGTTCTGTTTATGAACTCCGAGGTAGGTCTATCCTATTCGAGTTTTTGTTGTTGAAACCTAATCACATGTTAAGGTGGATAATGTTTGTTTGTTGTCTTGCTGAGCAATGTTCCAGCTATATGACAGCGGTCTATAAAAAATATCTGGACTGAATAGTGATCGACATAATGAGCATCGACCTATGCCACCGGGATACGATGGCTTGTGTCACCCTAGTCAACAGGCCTGACCAACTAATTCCTATGGTCGCCTCTGACGACAAGCTTGATCTGCTGAAGACCAATTCTAACCTGGATCTTCAAAGGTTAGATCTGGAGTTACGACAGTTCGTAATGTTACGAGTACTTCGTGGATCGGAGCCCTGTATTGTCTGCTCCTTTCCAAGTCGAATTGCGTTGAGGAGATGGTGCTGACATGACTGCCATGCATGATGAGCGACCACGGATCATGTACAATGTAGTAAGTTATGTAATGAAAAGTATCGTTTTCAGTATGTGCCGGTTTCCACAACAGAGTAAACACCGATAAATTTATCACTCAGCGCATGTATCACACGATAACGCTGAACAGTTCTTGATCAACGCAACTCAGAGACAATATAAACATTATAGAGTATTTACTGGGTAGGAAAGACCATTTTCTTTAGAGGGTAGGGACAGACCATTTAACTTTCAAGGGTAGGGCAGATCATCTCACTTTTCGAGGGAAGGACAGACCATTTCACTTTCGAGGGAAGGACAGACCATTTCACTTTAGAGGGTAGGACACACCATTTCACACTAGGGGGTAGGAAAGATCATTTCATTTTAGAGGGTAGGGTAGACCATTCCACTTTAGAGGATAGGACAAACCATTTCACTTTCGAGGGTAGGACAGACCATTCCACTTTAAATAAATAGAAGGTAATGAAGATCATTTCACTTTGGAAGGTAGGGCAGATCATTTCACTTCAGAGGGTTGGGCAGATCACTTCTCTTTAGAGGGTAGGACAGACCATTTCACTTTGTAGGCTAGAAAAGGCCACTTCTCTTTAGACCAATTTACTTTAGAGGGTATGCCTAAACGCCATGTGTAAGTTAAGACGAGATATGTGTTGTCAGTGTGTATTATTTGGTCAGAAATATGAACAAGAATACAGATTTACTGAATTGTCCAAGGTGCAACTACAGAAATATATCCGCTACAATGGTAAACATTTCCACATGTATTAGACAACCACTTCCCGACGCAGGGGAATTAACATAGACAAGTTTTGATTTGAATCAAGGAGTATTGTTTGACGTCGGTCAAGCACTATTCCAGCCATACTATGTCGGGGAACACCAGGCACCTGATCTTTCACCAATACCCGACGGTCCGGCACGGGCACACTACCCGACTGTCTGACTTGGGCACACTACCCGACTGCCCAGGTTTACACAGGAATAAGTGAGTGAGTTAAGTTTTACGCCGCACTCAGCAATATTCTAGACAATCCAATGATCAACAGCATGAACATCGATTTACGCAATTGGGATACGATTACGTGTGTCAACCAAGTCAGTGAGCCTGACCACCCGATCCTGTTAGTCGCCTCTTACGAAAAGCATGGGTTGCTGAAGACCCATTCTAACCCAGATCTTCACGGATAGGTCTACACAGGTAGAGGATAAGATATGTGACATGAGCATAAACGGAAATTTGGTCTGTTCATCAGGGTCACCACTCATCTAAGGAACCGAACTCAAAAAGCAACAGTCACAGCAGCCTTAGTTCATGGGTCAAGGGGAGCAGTGTCCAGAGATTAGGCGTCGTCTTTGGGCTGCTGGAATCCACTGCCGACGGCCATGTGCGGGGCCAGTTTTGACATCGTTAACACCGTCAGCGACGTTTACAGTGGGCTCAGCAAAATCAACGTTTTAACTTTGGCGACGTGCAGTGGCGTCAAGTTCAGGCTAGTCTCGATATCATCTTCACATGCTGACGGTCGTTTACGTTTTGGCGTCGGCTTAATGAGCGTTACGCTGATTGTTTGTGTCAGACAGGCTAACAGATGGGGTGGTGGAAGTGTGATGGTCTGGGGAGCTTTCTGTTACAACCACAGGTCCCAGCTTCATGTCTTCCGGCCACGTTTAACTGCTGTTGTGTACAGGGATCATGCTCTTCAGCCTCATGTTGTTCCCAAGTTTGATGTACATCCTCAATTACAGTTTTTCTCTAAACAGGACAACGCACGTCGCCACACAGCAAGGGTGTCGATGGATTATGAAGCTCAGAACAACAGTAACGTTGTGGCCTTCTCTTCCCAGGATAGGGCTCCCATTGAACATGTCTGGGACGAAATTGGACACTGGATTGCTGCAGGTAGACAGCAACTCACACTTGCACAGTATGAACCGAGATTAGTGTTCGAGAGGAGCCGTGCCTCTTTCAGACTCTAGCATACCAATGAGGCTCAAGGTTGCCGTACACGTTACTAAAGAGATTGTCACTTTTGCGTTCAGGGTACTCCATTTGACGGACTGTGATCAATTGGAACTTATTGCAATGCAATGTTAACGGTCAACAGCACCTTCAGCTGTTACATTGACAGTATTGTCTATAGAATAAGTGATTAAATACAATTGTGTTTGTCTTCTGTCTAAAAACGTGACAAAAATCCAGACTTGCGTATCTTTTACTTTACAGTATATGTTGATTAACTTGTTGCCATTCGATAAATAAGCAACGGAAAATTATACTGAAAGTATGTGATTGTGTGTAAGATGATTCCCCACAAATGTCCAAAATTTGACTTGCTTCTTACAAAAACTAAACTCATGAAAAGTATTTATGCTACACTAAATTAACATTTAAGTCTATCGAAATTACGTCAAGTGTCCGAATCTTACTGGCACGGGTCTGTATGAGGATCGTCCATGCGATCTTTCCGTTGGTCATATGGTTTCTTCAGAGACGTTGAATTGTGTTACATGTGAGTGAGTGTATTGGGTTTATTGAGGTTTTTAACATTGTTTCAGTTACCAGTAGAGCACGGCCTGAAAGCCCGAATTGAGGGAGGTCTCAGACGTTTACCACTGTTGTGAAACTACCCACGAACATCATGGGATAGAATTGGTTTTCAGCAACCTATTGTTATGGTTAAATAATTGCCGTGACAAAAGGTTTAAGAATCCCCTTTGAACCAGTTAAATGGAGCTTGTTTACAAATGAAAGCAGTCAGGCACGAAGTGTCAGGGTCAGACGACGGCGTTGTGACGAAGGCAAACAACGATGGGCAACTCCAGTGATATCGAAAGTCCCGTGTAATTCCGTGTGTTAGTCCTTGTGTCAGTCCTTCCCTCGCACCACACAACAGCCAGCCTTTATATATACTGACACAGATTCTCGAACTTTCCAGCAAAGCATGGCTGTATCATTAACCACTTAGATCTTTCTCGAAACGTGTTGAACATACGACACGACGATGTCAACACATAAACATCCGGTCAAGGGAGGTAACTCTGGAGCGCTATCATAAAGGCGTGCCGCTAAAATACTGTTGCCATTGAACATATATGACGCGAAATGTGACCCACAACCAACTAACCAATGTTATTACAGATTACAAAAACACACACTTCAAAACACTATGCTTGTCCTAAGAAGGCAAGCACATTGTACCCATGTGAGGAATCGAACCCGGTCTTCGGCGAGACGAGTGAACGTTTTAACCACTGGGCTACTCTCACCACACCAGGATTCTTTGTGGAATCAACTGATTGAGTAGACTGAAATCTTGTCAGAAGTGACTGTATACATTGCAACAGATATATGATAAATCAATCCACATATTATCGTTTTGTCATTTAGTTAATTTGTGACTTGTTGCATAGAGATGGGATGTGTTGCATTTTACTCTACAACGAGAATGAATCCGAAACCTCTACAGTTCAACATCATTTGTCAGTTAAACAGATAAACATGTATACAGTTACACCAATACACACGTACCTAATCACATGCACAGTCCTATTCGCTTTGTTTAAAAGAACCAATTCTGTTCAAGCATTTTCCCTAATTTGCAGGTGAAGGATGTTTGGGGTAAATTTCCGAAATTTATAGTGAAACGTGTCAGTGTTATTCTGTATATTTCACTGATTAAACCAGACTGAAGTTTTTCTGATTTGGTTTTAAACTCAGTTAAACGTTTTGACCTGCGATATCCACCATGTCGGGAACTGCTCCACGCAATAAACACCTAAGAAGTTGGAACTGGACAAAGCATTGTGGCCTTAGCTCTCAATAATTTATCAGACTGCAATCACGACAGAGAAATAAGGCTGATGTTAAATATTAATCTGGTCGACTAAAGGCTACAAGTAGTCAAAGCGCCTCTCAGTATGGAGATGGGCTTCACAGAGCATAGGCGTCTGGAGTGAGTGGACATATGATTTGTATTTGGCTACACAGAACCACCTGCATGCCCGATGGCCTCGGTGTGTTTTCGGATGAATCAAAGATTAATTTGGACTTCCCTTGACAGGGTTAACGTGCAGGTAATGGGTGTTTTCATGCCATTAACGTCTGAAAGAACGATCAGTTTGTGGTTGGTTCAGTAATGGTGTGGCAGAACATATTTGTTCTTCACGGACGTGTCAATGGACAGTACTACCGTGGCAAACATCCTGGAGACACTCTTTGTACGTAGTGTTGTGTTCCCGAATGACAGGGGCACACTGGGCTCGTATTATTACTCAGTACCGACCGCTCTCAACGAACTTAGGGCAGTCTTGTAAAAAGAATGGGCTACAATAAACCAAGTACACATCAAACGTTTGATTGGGAGTATGCTTCGTCTAATGCGCGATTGTCTTGAGTAAAGAGGCGGATTCACGGAACATTAATTAAACACAGATGCATGATGGCAACCAATAAATATGACGTGTACAGTACAGTTTGATGTGTAATACCGTGTATAACAATAATCCCCTAAACATGTCAGCGGTCAATTTCTGCAATAAGTGAATCAGGACGTTTTAGGATACATTCTTACTCCTTC